GGATATTGCAAGTCTTGTGGGGATGATGCTGCCCTGGAATATGATGAAAAGCTTTGCCAATGGGCTGTAGCCTCCTGTCCCTGGAATCAGAAAAACTCGGAACTACTCCAGGATGTTATGGTTCTAGGGCTTAAGAACATGTCTAAGCTCAAAGCCCTTTCATTCAACTCAATCCTGATACATGTACCAGCACTGTTTCATCTTTAATAATAAGGGATTCTGTCCCAAGGGTACCAATTGCCCTTACCTACACATTTGCTAAAATTGTACAGGAAAACATCGAGAACCACCTGCATTAAATCTAAGGCAGGACAAAATAACTCCAACTCTAAACCATTTACCACTGACACTGTTCAAAAACTCCAGCCTACCTAATGCTATTAGCACACATACATATATCCAAGGCACATTACAATTTTGCCTATCTAAAAACATCCCATCTTTGAAAGTTAAAGAACATTTCCCTAAAAAGGAAATTGTACTTGAAATTCAAGCCAATCATGTGGTTGGACCTTTTGATTCTCCTCCATTCAAAAATATGCAAGTGTCACCTCTTGGACTTGTACATGTACGGAACCTAAAAGGCAACCAAACGAATTCCATCTAATACACCATAAGGATCTTCCATCTACGATAAAATCCCACTTGAACTCTGCACCATTCACTATCAATACATTCAGGATGCAATAAATTTTGGTTGAGGTTCTGTTGGCTAAGACAGATTTGGAAAATGTGTACAAACATGTCCCAATTCACAGGGACGATTTTGAACTTTTGGACTTTTGTTATAGATGGTAAATTTACCTACGGCAAAACCCTCCCATTTGGATTAAGTTATGCCTTCAACCTATTGCAGAAATTTAACACATCCCTACCTTGGATTCTTCAAAACAATTATCAGTCAAACATTTTCATATACTTCCCTCCTTTTTCCCTCATGGACTAACCTGCACCTCAGAAACTTTGCGCTTTTTTATGGATCCCAGTAACAGCGTATGGCTGCATGTATTTTTGGTATCTAAATGGGAATTTTTGCCCGTTTGATACTTCATGGCAAGAACTTCATATATCAGTTTGGGAATTCTTTCTCTTCTGCATCCTTGCCAATAAAACCTGGGGATCAACTTTATAAAATACAACTACTGTTCTTTATTCTGACAATATTGCTGTTGAGCATGTTATTAACAAATTAACATCAAAACACTCCAATTTAACGAAACTCATAGGATGCCTTATGGTAACAGCCCTTACCTACAACATTCACTTTCATGTGGAATGTATTCCTATACTGCATAACACTGCTGCTGATCTTTTAACTCAGTTACAGATTCAAAAGGTCAAAGCCTCCTTTTCGGAGATGGACCGCTGAAGTACTTCAGTTCCACAAATATCTCTGCATCTCTGAGCAGCACAGCAAATTTTCTGATCAGCAAACATTGCCACAAGATTCACTGAATTCATACAATACTCATTAGAAAGACTTCATTAAATGGTATATTCATCCAAACGAGGATCCACTTCCACCATCACTGGACCATTTACTTGTATACATTGCAAACTTCTACCATCAAATTTAGTAGCCAGTACAACCAAAACCCATATTTCTGCTTTTGAGATTTACCTTTAAACTAGGAAACTATCAAGACTTAACATTTTCTAATTAAAAACAACTCCCATACTTCAACGAACCCAATCTTTCTGGTGAAGCCAAACTGCCCATCACACATTCAATTTTGACAAAATTAATTCATATGTTTTACCCTGTATTTCAAACTTGGCATATACATGTATTAGAATAATGCTTCATTCAATGCTCCTTTTGGCATTTTATGCATTCCTTCGGATAGGAGAAATGACCAAAACAGGCAGTGTAAAACAGCACTATATCCTTGCTTAACATTTAACATTTATAACAAAATTGCATTGAACTGACAATCCCCCACTTCAAACATTCTAATAAATCTGCCATCTTACAAATTCCACAGAACCCCAATGAACTGTTATGTCCTTATGTGGCGTGTAAAAAAATTGATTCATCTTTACAAACCCACCAATCTCCTAATTGCTAATGAAGCTTTTTTTCATTCATTGACAGCAAACCTGAGTATCACATGTCACCAAGTTTTTTTTACAGAACATCTGCAGTTAACCCTGTCTGTGTACAGGGCCCAGGAATCTTTACCAGGCTCACAGCTTTCACAAAGGGCTGCTAAAGTGGCAGCAGAGTCCAGTTCGTCAGATATTCAAATCCAGTGTATGGAACATTGGAAGTTGACGTCATTTAAAAAGTACATTAAGATTCCATTTCTAAAACTGTAATCTACATGTAGATCATCACCAAGTCTTTATACCTCTCCCTGTGGATTCATCAAGATACATTGTAAGAGCTTCTTGTCCTTGTGCATTAGTGTATATCATTAATAAGTCTGCATTTCCTTTTTGACAATAGATCAGGAGCTGCTTGTCACATTTTCTTTCTATATACACTCCTTTTTTTTAATTACCATAATGATCACTTAATAGCATAAGAATGTAAACACTTCTACAAGCATATCATATTCCTTGTGTCTTTCATAACTTGAAACAGACCATCTATTTTGAGCTAAATAGCTCTTATCAACAGTAATGCTAGTAGTTTCAATCATCATTTTCTTGAAGGTGTGAAACATACAGTCAGGGGTGTGCAATTAGCATTGCCAAACGCCTGGGGCTACCATTTTTTGGGGTTGGGCTAGTGGTTTTCTGCATGCAGGTAGCCCCTTGGGCTAGTAAAAATTAAAAATACCAATGTAATATATGAAAATCACTACCGGTATTATCACTCATTTTTTGCTTTAAAATTCCCAACCAATGAAAAGTTTCCAGGCAGCATGCTCCAACTGTTTGTAAATCTCCATAATCTTATCCATTTTGCAGCACTTCCTCCTGACTTATTTACTTCCAAAAACAGTCGTTTTTTTTCTAATCCAAATTTCCTCCATTCATGTGTTTATGGTAAATAAAGGCAGATATCTCATTTAATTACTTATGATCACTCAATCAACTGAAAGATAAGCATTATGTGATTTACGTAAAATATATTTCCAGTGTTTTTAATAATTTAAGATGAAAAAAAATGATTTCACTTCACTTTAGATGAACTAGTGCAGAAAAAGGAAAAATAATTTATTTAAATTCATTTTTATTTTCTATCATAATAATTAATTTATACATGATTCGATTTTACTAGTGAGAATTAAACTTTAATAAAAAAAAAAAAAAAAAAGACATTAAAACCCTGACTTTTTCAACAATAATCTATTTTTTTTTAATATTAGTAATTGTTACCCCCACCCCCTTACATTTGGGTTAGTAACTTTTTACTTGGGGCAAGTAACTTTATTGCTGCCACTAGCCCGTGGGCTAGTACTTGATTTTTTTAATTGCACCCCCTGATACAGTAGTTGGCCATAATTTAGTTCTCAAAATGGACGCATATGTTTCCATGACTGGGTTGGCATTATTTTGTCTCTTAGTTAACCAATAAATTAAAAAATCCCAACTTTCTGCATCTGGATAAAAGACCCATATTAATCTTGATTTTAAATTTAGTTTCTAAATTTTAATTGCCTTTTGTTTGTTGATAATCATCTGGACATCTGCTAACAAAAAGGGGTCAATGTGGAAAAGATTTGTTTGTTTGCATGATGTTTAACACCCTTCTCGAGAATTTTTCACTCATATGGAGACGCCACCACTTGCTGGTGGAGGGCTGCAAATTTAGACCTATACTCGACACTCAGGGCCATTGCGCATTAAGGGATCTTTTTCGTGCCGCACCTACTGCAACATGGGACCTCGATTTATATGGTCTCATCCGAAGGACCAGTCTCCAAAAATTTCAAACATCACTGGACTTATTCATAGGACTGTAAATAAATTAATTAAATGAATGAAAGAAAGGGGAAACAAAGAAAACTTCTAAGAACTGGCAGGCGGAGAAAAACTGATGACAGAGCCAATCATCAATTTTTAGGATGGTCCTGAATAACTGAAGACAGACCTTGGAAGACCTCATAAATAAATTTAGCAACACATCTTTTGAAAATATTTCTTCAAGGACTGCTAGAAGAAGATTATTTGAAAATATTTATAAAAGACATGTTGTTTCTAATCACAATTAGGAGAGATTAGATAAGTCGTAATGCCACGAAGGCCCCCACAGGTAGCCAAAATTTCAAATGCCATATTTAGTTTTAAATTTGTATTAGAACTTGACCTGTATTTTCTGGTAAAATACCTGCACATGCAATTTCAACCTTATACATACATCCCTACAAAAGTTAGAAAGCGGAAAATGAAATTTTTCTATTTTTTATCTAAGTTAAAGAGGGATAACTCTGTCAAAAATCATTGGACCATGGAAATTGGAACTTGACCTGTATTTTCTAGTATTAAAAACACCTGCACATGCAATTTCAACCTTACACACGTACATACATCCCTACAAAAGTTAGAGAGCAGAAACTGAAAATTTATATTTTTTTTTTTAAGTTCAAGAAGGATAACTCTGACAAAAATAATCAGACCATGACCAAATTCATACTTGACCTGCATAGTCCTATGATGTATCCATATGTCAAATTTGAGTTGAATGTGTGCAACTGTTGCCAAGATAATGAACAAAAGTCAATGATGACGGAATCACAGAATGACGGAACAGGGTAACACTATATGCCCCCGGCCAAAAACAGATCTTGGTGCATTGTTGCCAACTCATCCGATTTTGTTGGGTTACACCTGATTTTCGATCCGTTACCCGATTAATTTTTATGACATGCTGGGTCATGCTTTTCATCCGATTTTTGCTGAACAACCCAAAAATCACCCATTTCTGCATTTGGTTTATAATTAATTTGCATGTGTCATTTCCAGTTATCAAGCCAAGCTTGGATCTACGAAAACAATGCCAATGGCTATGTACAGTAGGCTATGTATCGATAAATTATCAGTGCAAGTGATAAAATTATCTGGGAGATGTTTTGACAAATCAAAATTTGAAGTCATTCTAAAATAGCTTCCCATAGAACAAGATCATCATCAAAGCCAGCATATCAAAGAATCTTGGAAAACAACCTGCAATGGATGAAATAAAGTGATCGAGGATAGTATGAGACTAACTGTACATAATATCTAAATTGTTTTTTATGTCTGGAGATAAAAATTATCTTTAAAACCAAGATCTGAACTGGGACATTTCAATGTCCCTGATTTGAATACTTTCAAAATTAGCTGAAACTTTCCTTGTTCTTCCAAACAGCAATGCAGATACTAAAGGGCTTTCAGTATAGTTAAAAAGAAAAATACACAACTACTTTAGGTCAATGCTAAACAATGAAATCAGGGGATTCCTTATCACTTATAATACATGCTTTGAGGCACGACTGATTCAATGAAATAAACCAAATATTTCTGAAGCAAGAAAAAAAGTTGGAAACATGAAAAATTTATGCATATATATGGCCAACTTTAAAATAATGTTTGTTTGCCTTCTCCCGACTCAGGATGAAAAAATTGGGTCAGTAGGTAGGTGAGAAATTTTTTTCTCAGAAAATTTCAATTTTAATGCGGAATTGTCAAAATCTATTTTCAAGAATGCATAAAAAAATATATGCTTCCTGGAGGTTAAAAAAAAGTTTTGAATTAAATTAGGCCATTTTTAGCCAGTTGGCAACCAAACATTTTTGAAACATGGCCTAATATACTAGAAGCTTACCCCAGTGACTCAGATTTAAAAGCAGTTTGAAAATATCACTTCACAAAATGTCTTTAAAGATACTGTGTTTCCTCTGGTGACAATTCCCTTCTAAACTATTTTCAGATCTATCACTTAAATATGTCAAAATGTTAAATCTAATTTGATAATCCATACATTACAGGAAAACGTTGAGACCTATATATCAGACATGTCATTATCTATCTTCTGTGCTGGTATTTCTTACTTGTGTTTTGGATAAAAATGGGCAGACTAAATGTTCAAGCAATACACCTACCCTCCATCTTGCCCTGTCCTATCAATGGATCCAGTTGAATTTGATGAAGTTGAGTTTCCTCCATCAGAAGTACTAACATTTTGTCTTGTGCTAAAAAAGAATTAACAGTGTTATATTTTAATAATCATTATATCACACAGGCATGCATCTATAAAATAATATTATACCAAGGTTCATGCTTTTATAGCAAAACCATTATTTTAAACAATAAACTACTTTCTTTGTTTGTTCATGTAAGAATTTAAAGATTGCAACTATTGCAGATAAAATGCAGGCCACTGCCAAAGCATGATAGTCTGTCAGCTTTTGTTTATTTATCAAAAACTGATGAGTGTGCATTTAAGAAAATCAAGTCAACCTTGGTACACAGATTTCATCAATTTCTCCATAATTTCTTTATGTTTGATGTGCATCTTCTTTTATGATGTTGTAGTTATCAATTGTGTGTGTGTGTGTGTGTGTGTGGGGGGGGGGGGGGGGGGGTATATCGTAAATTTGTCTGGGAACTGCTCATGACACAAATGAACATTCTGATCCTTGTTCATTGACATTATTTTGTTTATGAAAGATGAAAAATGCCAACGCCTACTAAAATATCAAAAATACTACCAGAAATCATTATGTTTATGATAAAACTAGCTGACAAAACTTTTGAATCGGTAATCTTAGTGAGGCACAACACTCAGCAAGTTTGTTACATATGTATTGGGATAAATAAAATAAAATTATAATATACATTATCAATTTAATTTTTTTAAAAACTTTTTTAAAAACTTTATATTAAATTCAAAAACAAAAGGCTTTAACTTGACAGTTGCAATTTTTGTCTATTATCAAATTTCAAACTGAACTTTAAGAAATTAACTCAGTGCCATAGATCATATATTCCCAGGGACAGACATAAATTTTCAGATTCACTTGTATGGAGGGTAATCGTGTTCAAAAATCCAGACTTGTAAGTTTGTAAATCCAAACTTGTAAGTTTGTAAATCCAAACTTGTAATCGTATCAGTTTCATAGTCTACGTATGTAAGTAGGTAATTCCGACATCCTAGCATGTAGTTCCGAACATACAACTGTGTTGACTTTGAGTTTATACTATGAATGTGTGTATTTTTGATTTGTAAACTTTGTTTTCCGGAATTTATATTTTCGCGCTCTGAATAAAACACAAAGACAATTGACAAGTCTACAAATGTAAAGTCTACATGATTGTCGAATTTTGATTATGAAAAACTATGGAGGGGCATCAGTGCCACATTTTTTCCCTTTTTTTATTCTAACTCCTTCTTTTTCCAACGGAAATAATTTATTTAGATTTTATTTCTTTTTTTATTCTAACTTCCAATTCTATATTAATATTTTCACTTGAATTTGTTATTTAATTTTAATTCTAACTTTTTGTTTATATGTTCCAATTTTATTTTATCTTCTTAATTTTTTTTTTTTTTTTTTTTTTGACGATGTGACATGAATCATTACCTGCTTATTCATGGCTTGCGCAGATGTAGAGGGGCTTCGGTTTTAAAGGTCTCAACCGAAAAATTATTCAATTTGACTTTCAATGCCGAAGGAATAGTCATTACCAACACGTATGTTAAATGTCTTACATTTTGCCGGTCGGCACTAGGAACTTAGGACAAGCGAACTCTTACCCTCATATGGCCTACGAGGCTAGCGCCCAACCACTAGGCTACTGTGATCAGTGCCTCAGTTTATTAAGAACCAATGTAACTGCAATGATATTATATTTAAAAAAAAAACAACAACAACCACTCAGTAGATGAAGATCCGTATCAATGGGGGGGGGGGGGGGCTCCAAAAATTTGACAATGAAAAATAAAATAAATATACTGCCCAAACTCCTCCTTCGTGGGAGGCGCAGTTTAGGATATCTTTAACTTTTCAGTAACTTTTTTTTTCAACGCAAGAATTTGCCAGAGTTTAATGATACTGCAAAATAAGGGGGATGGGGGGTGGGGGTGGTTGGGCATACAGCCTATAAATGAATTTTCATATTAAAACAGCTGCAAAAGATTATTCTCCACACAAAAAAGTTGGGAGCCCAACCTTTCGATCCCTCCTACTTTGGACCGGAGATTTGTTAGTGAAAAAAATTTTCTCTGTCCTACTTTAAAACAATAATGTGATGACAATATCAATTTAAAAATACCTGATATTTGTGTACCATAAGCGGGCAATCAAAAATGGCGGTCATATTTATCATATTTGAAACATCTTGCACCAGGGCCATAAAACTTAGACGGGCTCATTTTTGATCACAGTCTCACATTTAACAAAGGAATTAATAGTAAGTAGAAAAGAGAGACAGGGATCAAAAGTGAGCTCATCTAAGTTTTATGGCCCCGAACCAGGTCCGTATATAGCAAGTGGGGTGAGGGTGCCAGTATATACTATACCAATAAAAAAAGCAATTTCTGATTGTGCCCCCTCAATAATTTTGTCGGTAAATACATAAGAAAAGAAATAAGGCTAATTCATCGTTGTGCTCCCTCAACAGGAATGTTTCATTTTTTTTGGGGGGGGGGGGGAGCTTAACAAGAAATTTTTGTTTTGTGCCCACTGCTCCACCCCACCTCCACCAAATGAAAATAAGAAATAAAAAATAAAGAATTTAATTTGGAAAACAAAAAGTTAGAATAAAAAAGAAAATAAGACCATTAAAAATAATTGTGGCACTGATGACCCTCCATAGGTTCTCATTATCAAAATTCGACAGTCATGTAGACTTTACATTTGTAGACTTGTCAATTGCCTTTGTGTTTTATTCACATCGCGGAAATATAAATTCCGGAAAACAAAGTTTACAACATCAAAAATACACACATTCATAGTATAAACTCATTAGACAAAGTCAACACAGTTGTATTTTCGGAACTACATGCTAGGATGTAGGAATTACCTACTTACATATGTATAATATGAAACTGATACGATTACAGGTTTGGATTTACAAACTTACAAGTTTGGATTTACAAACTTACAAGTCTGGATTTTTGAACACGATTACCCTCCATACACTTGCCCTTCGGGCAAGTAATCTCAAACTTTGACTTGCCCAAATGCAAAACTTGATTGTCCAAATTAACAAAAAAGAAAATAATTTGTTACTGTTTATGTTTATATGATAAGAAAAAGTGTGACCAGATACACTACTGTCTATTTGGCAAGTTGAGCTACTAGAAAATAAATTCCCATACTATATGTTTGTACATGAATGTTTACCACTGTCCTTGTCAATTTAAATTTAACCTGTAAACACACATTTCCATGCAGCAATACCCCCCTAGCCAATCTCCAGGTTTCCTTTATAATAAAATTCATATTTGTTAGAAATTATTTTCAGTAGGATCCTTTTCATCCTCACAATGTCAAGGTTTTGTGATTTCAGAACTCCACACAAACCCTTGACATAAGTCATTATTTAAAAGTTGGGCTTGTGGTTACACATGACATAATGGGTAATTATAAACTAACCAATGAGAATATATTTATCAAATTGCCTAACTCCAGAGTATATCTCTTGTGATTGTAAGGAGGACAATGTTCAAAAAATTAATCCCCGATGTTTTATTTAAAGTAACTAGTCACAAATCCTACAATATTGACATTTTCCATTTTAAAGACGAGTCATATTATTTGCTTACAAAACTAACCTACAATAAAAGCTGTTTTCTGATTGGTTCCAGTCCTACACCAGGAACAAATGAAATTTTTTTCACTATATAATCAATAGAGCCCCCCCCCCCCCCCTAACATCAGAACCCCTGACCCAGGGGCCATGAATTTCACAATTTTGGAAAAAGCATCATTGCTTGTCATAACCATGCACTTAGTTTGTTTAAATAATATCCAGGAGCAGAGAAGAAGATTTTGAAAGAATTAATGCATTTTCACTGTCTATATAATCAATAGAGCCCCCCCCCCCCCCCCCCCAACACCAGAACCCCTGACCCAGGGGCCATGAATTTCACGATTTTGGAAATGGCATCAATGCTTGTTATAACCATGCATTTAGTTTGTTTAAATAATACCCAGGAGCAGAGAAGAAGATTTTAAAGAATTAATGCATTTTCACTATATAATCAATAGAGCCCCCCCCCCCCCCCCCCCAACACCAGAACCCTTGACCAAGGGGCCATGAATTTCACAATTTTGGAATAGGCATCAATGCTTTTTATAACCATGCACTTAGTTTGTTTAAATAATACCCAGGAGCAGAGAAGAAGATTTTAAAGAATTAATGCATTTTCACTATATAATCAATAGAGCCCCCCCCCCCCCAACACCAGAACCCTTGACCCAGGGGCCATGAATTTCACAATTTTGGAAAAGGCATCAATGCTTGTCATAACCATGCACTTAGTTTGTTTAAATAATACCCAGGAGAAGAGAAGATTTTGAAAGAATTAATGCATTTTCACTATATAATCAATAGAGCCCCCCCCCCAACACCAGAACCCCTGACCAAGGGGCCATGAATTTCACAATTTTGGAATAGGCATCAATGCTTGTTATAACCATGCACTTAGTTTGTTTAAATAATACCCAGGAGCAGAGAAGAAGATTTTCAAAGAATTAAATGCATTTTCACTATATAATCAATAGAGCCCCGCCCTAGCACCAGAACCCCTAACCCTGGGGCCATGAATTTAACAATTTAGGTAGAGGGCCTAATGCTTATTACAATCATGCCAACAGTTTGACTGCTTGATGTCCAGGAGTAAAGAAGAAGATTTTTAAAGATTGCATCAATTTTGGTGGTTTTAGCCCCACCCCTGGGGCCCCAGGGGGGCAGGGACCATGAAATTCACAATTTGCGATTCCCTTCACCCAAAGAAGCTATATGCCAAAAATGGTTGAAATTGGTTGAGCGGTTCTAGAGAAGAAGTTGAAAATGTTCAAAAGTTAACGCACGACGGACAAAAACGGATAGCAATAGGTCACCTGAGTGACTCAGGTGACCTAAAAACTAATGTAATCTAGATAACAATATACATTTCTATCAGAAAAATCCACTTGCCCCATCCAACAAGTGTGTTAACAGTTTCACTTGCCTGAACTAAGAA